CCCCAAAACCCCAAAACCCCAAAACCCCACAAGTCTGAAATGGATCAAATAAGGATCAGTGAGAATTTTAATCTTTTTTCTTATTAATACAGTAATTTTTTCTCTCTTTATAATTAAGAATTAATCTTAGATGCACTATCTAGGTAATAAGTACAGATAAAATACTATCGCTAAGATAGTTCTAGGTCTTGTAGCACTCGAAATCTGCTGCTTTTTATCTTTACTGGGGCTTCAAAGTTGGAACTAGTGATACTATCGTAGCTGCATAGTACAAAGGCAAAGTTCTAACTGCAACGATCTTCCTTGGAATATATCTTTTAGCAGTATCAGCATTCACCTATCTAGTAATGAGAAAAACTACCAAAAAATGGGTTACAATTACTTACACTGTACTTCTCTTCATCTGTCTTGGTATCTTCGGAGGTATTGCCTATGTGGGTCCAACTGTTAGAGGTAAGATAGAAAAATGATATGAAGACTAATTTCTTAACATCTTAATATTTGATAGATGAGACTGCTCAAGAGTTCTACACTCAGTGCAAACCAGAAAATATAACTAGCGATCTTAAAAAAATTGACGCTCTCTATGTCACTGCTAACTCTCAACTTTGCACAGTTGCTTGCCCATGTGATGCAGGTAATTAGTTCTAAGTTTTTAAATATGATTACTTTAGATTCAAAGGACTGGAAAAATTACCAATCAAGTGCCCTTGTCCTTCAAAATTTACTCCCAACTTAGAGCAAAGAAGTAGTAACATAACAAATTGCATAAAAAACTCTAAGCAACGTACTTATGATCACTGATGATAAAGGGGCTGACAAGTATCCAGAATGCAAAGCTGTTGATGTTACACTAAAGGCTTTCATGGCTGCAAACTTCAATAACTCAGCTTATACTCTTCAACAAGGCCTAGATTTACTCGATGCTGTCGAAGATGACTTTGAATGTGCATCAATGTGCTCAACATCAAGATACTTTGCATTCTCCAAAGTTGGCCATGGACCTCCATCTCAAAATTGCACCAGTGGAATCAACAAAGTCATGAACAAAGCAGCTAGTATTACATTCTGGTCTGGATTAATTTTTGGAATTATCACATTTGTGGGTATTGTACTCAGTTTCTTACTTATTTTTCGCAAGAAACACGACAACGAAGAACCTCTACTTAATCACTGAGCTTGGAGAATACAGAGCAGTATAATTCAAAACCAGAGAATGATTAATTGAAAATTAAAATGGATTAACTACTTAGATTCAAGCATTTTACTTTAATAAAAGATTCAAAATATCACCTAATCAATTTTATTTAAATAGATCATATCTCTAAGTAAATAAATTATTGCATTAGACTCTGCTCATTCTTATTTGAAGTAGGCTACTTGGGGTTTTGGGGTTTTGGGGTTTTGGGG